TATTTGGAAGAATTGGAATGAAAGGGAATTAGTATTTGGAAGAATTGGAATTAGTATTTGGAAGAGCTGGGATGGAATGATGAGATCCATGAGATCCATGAGAGCTCAAATACTAATTCCCTTTCATCATGAGGTCCATGAGAGCTCATCATGGATGGGGTTGACTAATAGGGGGGGTACCCCACTATTAGAGGGGGGTAGGGGGTGTATGGGGTACCCTTTCTGAGCTTCTCAAATTGCAGATTTTGATAGAGTTTTAATAAGGGAAAATGAACGAATTTTCCTAGAGAGTTTTTGGAAATTCTAGGAAAACTGTTGCTTTGGGAGAGCATTGGTAATCAATCAGATGATCAGTTTCACCATGGCAAGACAAGAAAATATTGAAAAGGCAAAAGAACAAAACTAATTAAACACACATATATATTTAAGTAATTATATTTTTCCTGGGGGGACAGGGGGTAGACTAATAGGGGGGGGGTTCAGCCAAGCAAAATTTTTATTAGAGGGTGGTGACTGTGGAAATTCATAGTTCAACTTAGTTTATTATTGGGGCCTGAACGCTGGGTAGACTAATAGGGGGGGGGTTGGTTAATACCAGGTGCGCATTACCTATATATAATATACACACATATTACAATTAAGATATTACTTACAATTACAAGTACCCATCATTATTATGACTCCACCATGTAGAATGAGGGTCAAAACCTCCGCAGTCATGAGGTGAAAGACTTGTGTCATAAGGCTGCCTCGCATAAGCCAACACACTGCTTCGCGAAAGGCGTGAGCAAACTTTTTGGGGGGCTAAGAGCTCTAAAAACACGTAAGCATTGCAATGCATGGCATATATATATAATATTATACTGTATATAGTTCTACACGTGCCCGCATACGATGCGTGCCCGCGAATCCTTCTCTCCATGTGCCTCGCAGCTTGAGGCGCTCTGGTCGGCCCAAGCGTCTCCTGACCCAAGCCACTCGAGATGGGATCGCCCTTGACAAGGCGAGACGCGATCGTGGAACACGAGACACGGATCCTGACAGGTCTTGCATGTGGTGAGTGGGGAGACACGGATCCTGACAGAAGCCAACTTCTTGGGAGCACACGAGCAGTTCTCCACAAAGCTCGAAGTCTCATATGGTTTCATGGGTTCTGGACACGAACGCATCGAGCCAGCTTGAACAGACATTTCAAGACCCACGAGCCACATGGAGTGGAGTAGCTGGGCACCCCGACTTCCTCCAAGTTCGGCACCCGTCTTGTGACTGCTGGACCTTTTTCTTTCAAGGAACCCACTTGTTGGATCGGCGATCCTTAGACCGCAAAAAAAAAAACGCGTTCTCAGGGCCCCCGGACGCCAAACCCGTTGGTTCGCTCTCCGGCTTCGTGCACCTCACGACCAAGAAGTCACACGGACCGACGCGATCGACGGTTGAGGAACTGGTCCTGGCAGCCGTGCAGCGAGACCCCGAGTGTTTAGCCCCTCGGCGGGTCCGGTTTCAGCGCAAACCAGCGCAACAGCACGCGCCACTGGAATCCGCGGGGGTTTGCGGCCACGCGTGGTTTCCGGAAGTGAGCCAGCTGGAGTGTGTGTTTGTTTTTTTTTTTGGGGGGGGGGGCCGGAGGCGGTGCAGTTGTGGGAGTTTCAGGCGACTTGGCACCGTTCAGGCGGTGTGATGCGGAGAAAAAGCGTTCAGAAGAGGTCTGACTTCCTTTTGGAATTCGTTGGAATCCACCGGCGGTGTGGGACGACGGCAGTGGATCTCAGTTCGGTCATTGCCGTTTGCACATCCGTTGGCACAAAAACAACAAGTTCACTGATCAGCCCTCAGCCCCTCCCAGTTCTGCCAGCTGCCTTTGCTCGAAACGTGCAAATCTTTGACCTTTCTCGGTACAATTCAGCATGGGGCACACATCGATAATCGAACGGCGAATGTGCACAGAATGAACCAAGCAGTCGAATCCGGTGATCCATCACACTTATACTGATACTGCATCGCCAATCGCAAAGATTGAGTCTGGACAAGGTCAGGACAAAGCAGCAGGACAGCACTGACCGAGTCATGCATGTTTGATTATGCTTTTGATTGATTATATATGACATGTATGCTGTGCAGGACTCACATGACAAAGGCATGTTCAAAGGATCCCAGGGTTGGCCACCATAGTGACTTACCATTGACTTACCACTTCCCATCAAATACATCTCCTAGTGCATTTCCTCGACCTTCCGTCGATCCGCTTTTGGGACCCACTCCGATTCGCTCGCGGTCCGTCCGAGGAGGTGGTGGATGAGCTGTGGCGCGCCGCACGGCGAAACCGATGGCGAGGCCTCACACGACTGGGATCGAGACGATTGGAGCGACCCTAGAGATCCCTCAGTAGATCCCCCAGTAGATCCCCCAGTAGATGTGAGGCGTTTCTTCAACTTGGAGATGTTGGGTATTTGGCGTCATTGTTTCTGGCCTTTCTTTTGGGATCGAGGCTATAGTTAGTGTGCCATCCACATAACCAGGAGCTGCTGCTTTAGGGTCCAGAGACAATGCAAGCAGACGGATCAAAGTCATCGCGAGAAGCGCAATAGAACCCCTTTATGATGCGATTCATAGGAACCAGAAGCTACTAGGGGCTCCTGGCCTTACTACTAGGAGCAAGGACGTTACTAGGGGCTCCTGGCCATACCACTAGGAACAAGAAGCTACTAGGAGCACAGGGAAAATCTGCCAAAACAACCCAAGTGGGAAACCGCGTGGCTGGGCTGAGGCTGATCACGATGTGCTCCTGGAGTTGCTTTGCTGCATCGGGCCGACCACGGCGGCCTTGGGGGAAGACGCGTGTTTTGGGATGCATTGTTGCCATTCCTAGAAAGGTTGAACAGCCATATAGCCTATCCCAGATGTACCACTGTAGGGTCCTAGTTCGGTTCCTCTACTGAGATGCCTCGAGCTTGTTGTGAATATGAGCTGCTTACTCTCCCTACTCTAGGGCAAAGCCTCCCTGGATGCCCCGTCCAAACAGTGTTCCACGCGTGTTGCCCCAGTGGAGTCCACGTGGACCCATTGTGGACTCCCCCAAAATGCCAACACAGCTCTTCGTGCGTGCTTTTTGTTGCCGTTTGCCCTGAGCATCAATGGCGTCAACATGATCCCAGGTGCGTGTCTCACGACGGTTTGATGCTCCAACTGGCATCTGAGAAGCTTCGGGACGATCGAACGATCGTCTCCAGAGTGACTTGGCAGCATACCTTGGTGTTCGACTTGGGGACCTGGATCGCCGAAAGACTGGAGCATGGACTCCATGCACCATGGCCATGTGCTCAGGCTATATGCTGAAGGACTGTCTCCAGGCATGTCAGGTTTCATCACGTTTCAGATGTTGTAGGCTGTACTTTTGTGAAAGGGCGGGTAGAACATGGTAGAACACACTTGAGCTTCGTATGGGCTGGGTTCCAGGTACATGGTGCCCCTTTGCTTTTAAGACGATCTATATAAGTCAAGTGGAGAACCACAAATGTTGGAGCATGTTGGAGCCCCTAGACTGCGGGTGTCACGGAGAAAAGCTGCACGTATTTGGGTCAGCAAGAGGACTGAGCTTTTTGTCTCAGAGGTTGTTCAAGAGACCTTGCCAGTTGCAGCACGGAAGATACAGTAGTGGTAGTGTGGTGCAAGAAATAGAGGTGGCTGTAGCCCAGTGGGAGACATAGATTGCATTGCTTTGCCGGGCGATCCTTGACTTCCCAGCAGGCAGTCACAGCCCCAAATTCTTGGCCTGTACTAAGTACTATGGTTCGTTCGACAGCGAAGGGTCGTCCAGAACGTGAGTCAACCAACATTCCTGGCGCGCTTGGAAACGTTCCAACGGTCCCAACCTTAAATAGCACAGCCTTTCTTCATGTGTACACGTTTGCCAAAGATCACGGAGGAGTGTACTCCGAGACTTACTCCGAGATATTCGATTCAAAGGGTTTTAACAGTCGTGAGAACCTTGCCACACTTGCCCATGGGCATCTGAGGCTGTGCAGCAAGACGCGGATGCCTTGCAGTCTCCTGGAAGGACGTCATTCTTGAGAGTGCTATAGCTAGTGCATGTTAGTGCCAAATGCACTTTTCCGGATTCTGAATCTGTGAGACGACCTGATTCCATTTAGTATCACGTCCCTCACTGGCCGACCATCAAAGATCATGAATCGTCACACATGTCTTAGAAGGAAGCACAATACATGTTCCACCCACCCTTGATACGGAGTGTGAATTGAGAAGGAGCGGGACAGGACGAGGGTGGTTATACTTTGGACATCTTTTGCATTTGTCCAACTTGGTGGTTACGTCTCTAGACCGCTTCAGGTATGCCAGTGAGGCCTTGCGCAAAGCGAGCTCCATTGTGCTGCAAGCCGCTCAGTGTCCGTGGCAGTGTTGTTTTGCTTTCTGGGTGGGTGGAGAGGATATGATAGGATAGGATTCCACTTGGTTGGTTCCAAATAAGGACACCCTCAGAAGGAGAAACGCAGAATTACTGTAGCCATCTGTAGCCAAAACTTCAAGACTGGTAGTTGAGGCTTTGGGCTCACCAGCGATCATACTGGATCGGATGGGTGACCAGCTAGACCTGACAAAGCTAGTCAAGCTGCATTAGTTTGTTTCAATCCCATTGGTGGCTGCCTAATCTGCACTATCGATCCGTTTTTTTTCCAAATTTGGGGTTACTGTAGCAGCAGCAGCAGCAGCAGCAGGAGGAGTAGGAGCAGCAGCAGCAGCAGGAGGAGGAGTAGTAGTAATGAGTTAGTAGTAGTAGTAGTGGTAGTAGTAGCAGTAGTAGTAGTAGTAGCAGTAGTAGCAGCAGTAGCAGCAGTAGCAGCATGTATTAGCCGTCGTCGTTGTCGTCGGCGTAATAGGAAGAAGTTGGAAGTACAGTGTTTGAAAACAACGTTCTGTTCATCATTCCGACCTCCATAAACTACTCAGGGATTGGGAAGAATTTCGGGAAAGCTGTTTATTCTTCCCTTTCCCTTGACTATTTGGCAATTGAACATTACATACATGGGCTTGTTTGGCCGAGTGCTTGGTGACATCGACCTTTTGTGTGACATCGACCTAGTGGGCTTCCCTAAGGCGGCAAGAGGAAAGCCTGGGAGTTTTGAGTTCGCAGCAGAGGAGCTCAAGGATGACAAAGGCCGCTCGGTGTCCTCATCGATGTTCTTCTTCGCGCTCTCGGTACAAGGATGGCAAGGCTACCCAGCTGGTCAGCTGGCGTCCAACATGTGCAGGGCTTCATGAGCGAGTCACATTGTTTTATCATTTTTCAGCCAAAATGATCGTTATCATACTTAACTCGTATATTTCTGAGACACTATTGGACACAGTGTAAATACAATATTATATAAATATGTGATATTATATGCAGAATGGAAAGAACTCGTCATCACATCATACCACCATTTGCGGGGCTTCGCTTACTGCCCCTCCAACGATCATGGAAGCAGAAAATGGCCTTGGAAGACAATTTTCCTCTATGGTTGTCCAGGGAGGGTGTAGAGTTGAGGCACCATCAACATGGTTCATCTGAACATCGTGGGAATCCATCTCTGGACTCCATCTCCAGCATCCCCACTTAAGATTTTGGTTTGGTGGTTTGCCCCTTTTTGATTGCATTCGATCCGCTGGCTTTGGATGAGACAAAATGAGACAAACATTTTGGACTCAGAGGACTGCTCCTGGAGATCTTGGCGCTGGAGGGGCGATTACTGAAATTCGCCTCTGAGAGACTTCAAGCGGATGAAGAGGTGGAAGCTTGAACTGCATTGACGTTCGACACTTTCTGACTGTTGCGAGTGCTTAGCAGGGTGGCTGAGAGTGGCTGGATCCATTCCGGAATTCCCTTAACTATTGGGAGCCAAATAATTCCCCCACAGTCCCTACGAGGCGCACCAGGTCGTTTTGTGTTTGGGTCGTTCGGTGTCGGTGTGGACCGGTCTGGGCCGCTCGTCATCTCCAAGGACATCGAAGGACCATCATGGGGGGGAGGTGCGGGGGGGTGGACGGACAGAATCAATGATGCTTTCATGTTTGACAAACTTGATAAAGAATAGATAAGAATACTGTATATAGATATCAGTTTGTTGAACTAGCTAAATGATATCCAAAGGTGAACAGTTGATGAGCCCAATTGCAAACGGCCTTAGGGGTATCCGAGAAGAGCCTCACAGCGAAGAACCCAGGAATTTTGCGCATGTACAGCAGCACCTCATGGAGAACCATGACACACATGCTGGCCAGAAGAGTCTCAGACTGAGCAAACAGAAGATTGACTGGTATCACCTCTACTTTCCGCGATTGGATTCATGATATTGCTCAAATGCTGACTTGGCAGCTCCGGTGCAATTTCTACTAGGGAATCAAAACAAGTACTGGTAGGTCAATGTATTCTATACTCCTCCAAAACTCGAATCATCTCGAATCCGAAAACACCTGAACAAACAAAGACAAAAAGACACGGGAAACTGTCAACCAACACACTGATCAGACAGGAATGATCATTTGAGGATCTTTGGTAAGATCATGTCAGACCTTCCACTTTCGGTCCCCGCTGCTCCGTGAGGTTCTTCAGGCGGTGCGCCATGCAGGGGAGGCCCTGCAGTGGGCAGCACCGGTGTTGCGGGGCTCCCAGCGTGTGGCGGTCGATGCCTTGGCGCAGAACGTGGAGGCGTGGCACCATGTAGCGCCACCCGCGTGTCCCTTGGAAGGTGAAGTAGAGTCGGGGCACGGGGAGGAATTTGGAGATCCAAAGGCTTCATTGTAGATCCCTTGATGGAGATGTTCACTTAACCCTCCATAACCCTGAAGAGGTCGTTCAGTCCAAAAATGCTGGCTTTCTTCATCAAGGGTTTTTACAGTCGCGCAGGAAATGCCAGGTGGGCTGCGAAAGATGCTTATATACAGGTTGATGTGGTTACGTGCTACGGATCCCCAGGGTTGAGGGTTATAAATTCTGGTATGAATCCATCGAGGATCGAGCAGACATAAGCAAACTATAGATTGTAGACTGACGTTTAGTTGAACATGGGGGATTGCTCCTTCAAGTATCTTCAGGTATTGTTTGACATTGTCACTGTTTGCAGAGACAACATGAGACAATGACAAGCAAGGGGTCCCCTCACCTTGCCCTTATGTTTGACAAGAGTCCCGCTCGCGGGCTGCGACCTGTGGCAGCAGTGATTTTCGAGGTGATGACCAAGAAGTGCTGATGGAAGCCCTCAAGATGGACGGCCATTTGCTGCAGGAAATGCCTGAGCCATGGAGAGACCAGTGGAAACGGGGGGGGCCGTCCAACCAGTAGGGTTTGTCCTACCCTGTCAGTGGTTTGTCCATGTTTGTCCTACCTTTCCCCCCCCTGTCAGGGGGCAAAAGGTGAACCTTTATTTTCCAAGGGCACTGAGGAGGTGAGGCCTTTAGCAACTCTAGCGTTCCTGCTTTTGGATTCCATACGCCAACGGATGCCTTGTGAACCAAGCAGAGCCAGAACATCACTTTACATCGTGTCGCTGTTTGACCTAGCCCTCAGCGGAAGTTTGTGGGTGTGTAGACGTGTTGCAACAACAGCAGGCAGCTGGCCTCCATTCAGTCAAGAAAGCTCAACATTTGCCTGTGACACCTGACACCTCCACAAAACTATGCGTCCCACAAGGATTGCCAGCAACTTGCCAAAACAACAAGCTCATCCACTTCTTGATTGTTTTGGCTGTTTTTAACAGTTCTATACCCTTCCAACTACCACACACCACTGAATCGCCAGATCGTCGCCATGGCGCGCCGCCATGCGACACCGTGTGTCACCGTGCTGCTGGCGTCGCTGTTTCTGCACAGCGCTTGGCCTTTTCTGGGTGGATTTCCCCGCTCCCCGACCGGGCGAAACCGCCGTTGTGGCCGTCGGGCGGCTGTGGGAGAGGCTTCGCTTGCAGACGAGTTCTTTTGATATTCTTGTTGGGGGGTGTTGAAACGTGGCGATGTCAAGGACCTACCAAAATCCCTTCAGAGGTTGGTTGATTCATTGCCCTTGTCAGCCTTGTCAGCCTTCAGAGGTTAGACTCTTGCTTCATAAATTCCTCCATACGAAGAGGTTTACCAACCCAAATATATGGGGCGGGAGTATTTATCAAGAGTCTACATGAACGGATTGCAGGATTGTTTGGGGACTCATGGATGTTTTAGGGATGGAAGAGGCGCCAAACCGTGGTGTCCCAGGAAGAGATCAATGGATTTCAGCTCGAAGAGAAGCTGGGCGCAGGAGCCTTTGGGACTACCTGGCGCGCAACTGCCAGCGATGAGTGCGACGAGGAATTAAGCCTCCCCGCAGGCTCGTAGGGCAAGTTCGCTGGTCACAGAATGCGCGTGTGGGTTCAAGAGCGTTCAATGCATGTCAACCACTTGATATCCAGTGATTTGCCACCATAGGTGGCATCAAGCAGGAAGTTTTCACCTGAATATGTGTTAGTATTCAGGAGTTGATGTCTTGAAAGTTGACTTCCTAGGGGCATTTGTAGCCCCCTTTCAGATGTGGGGCTATAGGAGCAGCCACCTTCCAAACGTGTTTGTGAACTGTGCTTGGCAGCCCCGCTCGAACGCCCTGCTAGGTGAAGAAGTGGCACTAAAGCTTATCAAGCTGCAGGAGACATGGGGTGGTTCGGAGTATGAGTTTTATAGAGAAATTTTTGTTCTATCATGTTCTATCAAGTGGACTGGCACGTGCATGTTTCTTGTGGAGTTGAGGTGACAACTTCATCTCAGATCATCGCTGAGGTTGTCGGCTAGCAGCTAGCTAGCCTAGCTTAAAGCAAGAATTATGTATAAATTTACATGTTTTCACAACTATAACTAAATTAATGCATCACATCATAACACCCACATAAAATGTACAGTCATGCACCCCTTCACAAAGAAAATAACAAGAAAGCACCGCACAGCTCCCCGCTCCAGGATGGCTGGAGTGCCCTCGACAAGTTCGAGCGCGAGGCCGCGGTGCTGCGGCGCGTGCGGCACCCGGCGGTGCCACGCTTCTATGGATCGATCCTGAGGGATCTACCCAACGGACGGGATTTAGGCGGGGAAATGGGGGCCACCTGGAGGTTTGGGAAGTGGACGTCAGACCAAGAATGCTGGGAAAAGGGTTTGGAAGATGTGGGATGATTGAATATGCTTGATGGATGTTGATGTTGTCCCATTTTGCTTCATTTTTCTTGACAGAATGCTTGCCTGGCTGCCTGCCTTTGGATTCTGCTACTTGCATTTGCATCACATCGGAGACCGGCAGGTTTGGTTTCTGCCTTGGTGCGCGGAGGGACCTTGGAAGCTTTGGCTCGGGGAGCTAGTCGTCCGGTCGCCGTCCGTGGAAGGAACATCGGCATGGGGCAAACCGAGGTTGTTTTGTTTACCACGGTTTCAGAGTAGATGGCACAATCCCCTAAAGGCGGCTTATATGGACCCCAATATACAGGACATCTTTGGGTTTGTGCCATCTACTCTGAAACCAGTGTAATAACATGTATATACATGTACTTCATCAACAAGGCAATCAACAGATTAACAAGAACAGGTTTGCTCTTACAGAACCATTTAGAAAGAAGATCAAGTGTTCCAATCTGCTACACTGCGGCGAGAGATTCTTGCGACGGGTCCCGCAAGCCCATGTCGTTCTCAGAAGGGACATTGACCTTATATTTGCGTATATGGAATCGTACCGCATGTACCGCCCCTTAAGCCCTGAACTGTTTGATATTATACATATTACTGCTTTTCAGAAATCAACATGGCGGGTTCGACCCTCATGGCAAGTCCAGCGAAATCCAGTGCAAGCTATAAGCAGAAGTCCCTCTACGATTGTGTTTGTAACCAGTTAACGGCCCAGATTGGGGCAGATAAGACAATTAAAGTTGAATTTGTGCTCCACATTTCCCAAACTCATCGGGAAGATACGGCAAATCTGGATAGGGATCACTCATGATAACTCTGATCTTCCAAAACGAATAGGCGCCAAGACTCACCAGAACCCGTTTTGTGTGCACCATGTTGCACCACTGTTTGTTTTTCACTGCTTCAGACGGACTCAGCTCCCCCCTTCACCCAGGAAGAAGAGGTGAAAAGCGGCCGCTGGGTGGCCACTCCTCCGAACCTCCGACGACTCGCGGAGACCTTGCTGGAGGTGTGTGTACCATGGACAGATTCAGCGCGACTCGCGTGGCGAATGGCGCGAGGCGAATGGCATGAGGTTCAAGACTCAACCCGGGCTTGAGCTCTGAAGGTGAGTAAGGCCATGAACTGAATAGACTCATGTAGACTCTGGATTGATCAAAGATCATTTTGATGGTAAGCCTCTTCAGAATCTATTGATCAGGGGTTTTGGTGTGTTGAGTTTTGACCGGCTCCTGCCCATCCCGACACTTGCGTGGCGGCTTTGACTGTGTGGCACCAAGGAATCAAGACAAAGAAGATATCACCTGAGAATCGACCCTGGTAGCTGCTAGTAACAAAGGACGCTACTAGTAACAAAGGGCACCGCTACTAGGAGCACTACTAGGGGCTCCTGGCCTTACTACTAGGAACAAGAAGAAGCTACCGGATATGTTTCGCTTTGTTCAACTTTATTCAACTTGCAAGCATCGCAGTGTGCATCGTTGGATTGGCTGCAGTAAGCACCTCAGCACTATTGAAAGCCACGACTGCAGATTTGACCCCCCCGCCTCCGTCCTGCCATCCTTTGCCGATTCCGCTGGGGTGTTTGACCGGAATCGGGGGACGGCAACTCTTCCAGTCCCATGGGGCTTTAGCTCGAAAAGTCCGGAAAGACCATTGGAACCAGATGGTGTTATGATGTCTTATGTCAAATCGCCTTATGTCCCTTATGTAGTTACAAATGCCATCAAAGGGCACTACTCACCATGACAAAAATATGAACGCCTAGTCACCATGTCGACCTAGTTAACGCATGTTTCGCCGTTGGTGGCCTGCTTCCGGGCGCTCGGTGCGCTTGCGCTCGGCACGTGAGGTGCACCTCGCGAGCTTCGCTCCACCGGTCGTGCATCGGGACATCAAACCGGCCAACGTGCTGTTGGAGGTCAATAGCTCGGAGCCCTGGCTGCCAACTGAATGAGCCAGGAATCCGTGGTATGGCTACATATAGTGACTACCATAGCTATTTTCTGAGGTACCCCAAGTGCAATCCAAACACATGCGAAAAAGAATCTCAAGCTATCATCAGTATATTCTTGCTCATTCATGCTCAAAATATGCATGATATATGATTGACTCTTTGCTCCTTCAGTGTTTCTTGGCAGGGTAGTAATCCGTCGAAGCGGAAGAAAGAACGACCAGGTCACCCCTGGTCACCTGAAACTGGGAGTCGACACCGAGACCGGGAGTCCGGTAAGGCTTAGATCCGGCAAAACAAAGCTACTTTCTAGGGCTCCAACCACCTCCTGAGAAGGTGGTTGGGGTGGGTTTTGGGGGTCTAACCACCTTCTGAGGAGGTGGCTGGAGCCCTACTGTAGGGACTCTTCGGCGGTTGATGGCTGATTTCTGCCAGTGCAGGAGGAAGTTGGACATCTAAGACTATAGGGAGCGCTGTGAACTCGGATATCTAGCTTGGAGACATGGGAGTTGATCGAAAACCCCGTGTAAGGAGTTTTATATAAAACAGCCTTTCAGATGTTGTTAGAACCATCCGCGAAAGATTCGCGATGAGGTTCGCGAAAGTATCTTTTTTTTCCGCGAAAGATTTATCGAAGGTCATCGCTTTCATACGTTTTCCTTTCTAAGGGACTGACAAAGAATAGAAGTACCAGGCAATCTTCCGGCAGAGCCGGTGGGCGGAAGTGTCCCCATATGTCACAGACTAACGAATTGAAGCCTCAATATTTCCGTGCCCAGCCCTGGCAGTGCGTAAAGGATTCTCCGATTCCTGTCCCCACTGTCAAGTCATAGACAAGCAACCTGAGTAGGCGCAGCCCTGACAGTGAGGCAACGACCTGCAGCTGCTCTGACGGGCTGTGCAGATGTTTGCATACGGCTTCCCCGGGAAAGCGCCAGTGAAATTTCGCGAAAGTTTCGCGAATGTGCCGCTAAAGTCCAGGTTCCCAGCTTGAGGCCCCCCAACATTCCCCAAGCTGCATCACCCTGTGTTGGTAGCTGGCCCGAGGATTGGGTTGAGTTGCGCCACAGATGCTGCAAGTGACCCTGAGTAGCTGTGGAAACGTTCGACCTTCTACTGTGGTCATGCTGCAAGATGTCTGTCCCTAT